ATATATATATATATATATATATATATATATATATATTCTGGTCCATAAAGAAACTGAATTACTTGTATTCTAAGCAAAATGACGTTTGTCATCATAATGCGCGGTGTTCCACTTTCATGGTACTCGCTGGGACTTCCTGGGTCGTGGTAGCACTTGACCTCTTTGATCTTGATTCAGTCATTACCCACGACTGACGCTCCCTCCGTTCTCGATCTAAGTGAGGCGGAGCAGTTGCGACTGGCCCTTCGAGCTTCAGTCGAAGAGACGGCCGGACCATCTACCTCGTGCAGATCCTCAAAGAATCTAGGAGCTGGATCCTCCTCTAGGCACCCACATGGCAATAAGGTAAAACCTTGTGTCTTGTGCCACCATTTCTATTCAGATTTTTTCCTTCAATATCGCAGATTTGAGTATTCGTGCAGCCCAATCCGCCAAATTTCGTTCATAGTTAACTTCAAGCTCGGTACAGTTTTGGTTATTGCCTTTTCAGCCTGCCATTTATTCTCAGAAATTACTTCTCGTAACCACACAACGACTGACAAAACCTCACTCTAAACATTAGCGTAAAATAAGATAGCATAGAATCCGGTGCGCCTAATCGGTTCTTGTTCTTTAATTTAATCTTCTGATTTTTAACACGTGTCTTTCCACGTTTTGGCTTTCCACGACGTCCCCTTTGCTTTCTTGTGAACCACCTTTCCCACGCCATATTGATCTCTAATACGTGTATCCCCTCTTTCTTGTAACTTCCGTTCTAACACGAAGGGTAGCACACTTGCCATTTTCTTGATCCTTGTTTATTGATCTAGTTACAAGTCATTTGAAGAAAAGTGTATAGTGAATTGTGTTTATTCAACCCCTTAATCCGATCGCTTCGCCTCCCCTTTCTCGCAGCATGGTGCCAGCCGCGCAAATCCTCAACGCCCCCTTCATTCACACGAATATTTATCTTGAATTAACATCACACCTAGGTCTCGATGTTAGCGCAGTTATGATTCACACATCCGAGCTATAAATGCACACTCACAAACCCAACATAGGACCACGGCTTCGTCAAGTTCTCGAATGCACGGTTGACTCTCTCCTTCCACCGACTTCATCTTTGTTGGGTAACTCGTGATATTAGGCATCCCAACAAGCGGTTGAAATTGGTCATAGGCGTTTTCCTTTGTCTCTGCTTTAACTGTCTCCTTGAACCGTTTGCTTTTTTGTAGTCCTGCGGCGTTTTGTCGACAATCACGACTCTTGACACCGATGATGATGACTGCGTAGTCGTACTTGACTCTGATGGTGAGGACAGTGAAGTCGCTAGCAGAGGAACGCCGATTGCGCCGCCTTTGCGGGAACTACCCACGGTGACTGATCCCTCTACCGCCTTCCGGATAGCCCTCCGGTTACCCTGCGGCAGGCGCACCGTCCTCACTCTCGACTCCAGCCTTCGATTAGAGGTGGGGTTCTTGACTTATTTTATAGTGATTGCCTAAATTGTAAAAGGCATTATGACGACATTGTAGTTTTAAACTTGGTAATGAAAACTGCGAAACCCCAGGGTTTAACTCGACGTAAATTAGTTTAGCGCATTTTCGTGATTTATTGCTAGACCCTCTTCTCTTACTTGGAATCCTTGGGCTACCCTTCCGCGGATTTTGAGTTGCTCCGAGTCCATCCTCGCCTCTGCCTAAACAACCTACCCAACTCCACTCGGATTGATGAAACCGGACTAGCTAAAGCCGACGTGCTCTACTTACAAGAGACTTAACTACACCTCCTCCTCCTCCTCCCACTTGTGTCAGCGTTTTTAGCCCCATCCTTAGGGCGAATTTGCTGTGTTCGAAAAATGCAAACTGTATTCCAATCAAATGTGTGTAAATGAAGTTACATTTCCCGAATAAAGTTGCGTTTTAGCCTTAATTATGAAAGTTGCTTTTACATTGATTGTACCTTGTTTGTATCTGCATCTAGTTATTGTGGTGTAAGGATCTTCCTATGGTGCATCGTGCATTGGGCCGGATGAGAATAGTCGTTTTAGTAGCACATTTAGCTAGGCTTCGCCCGGGTGAAGCGTTTTTTACCATTCGTCAAGTCGTGTAAACTAAGGCGCACAAAGCCCCACCCAAATCACGACTCAAATTAGCCTGTGTTTGTTTTGTTTGGTTCTGCAATCGTAGTCTAGTAGTTATTTCACACCTTGGTAAATGAACTCCTTATGATGGAACACACTACTGTTATTGACAGTAACCCACTTGTGACCGCCCAGAAGACCCTAATGATGAACATAAAGACAGGAGGATTATGATCTTCATGATGCAATGCCCCTGACGGCATTGTTAGGGATTACTTGTGTTTTTACTCCTTGCAGGTCGACTTCTCGGTTGGTAGCGAACCCAATGATTCAAAAATCGGCTGATATGTTTTGTCCCCCAAAGCACCTCTAGTTAGCAAATCACTTCTATCACTTCTTTATTGCAGGTGAGGCTATGTCTTCGCCGGCGACGCAGGGCTTCATAAAGACGGTGATGGTGATGATGGAAAGTGTTGTGAGTGGCCATCGAATGGTTGCCTTCCGCCCGCGCCATATGACCACGCGGAAGGAGATGATAGCCTTCGATCCCCTTGTTCAGCAAGACGTCCTCTACCGTGAGCTGAAAAAGATTCGCAGTTTGCGAAAGGCTGGAAGTCGGGATTAATTTATTTAATGTAGCCTAGCTTATTTGTTTTTTTACCTGTACAAAAATGTGAAGATATAAACATAGCTTGCTGACGAAATTTACCACCGTCTTTTCACGCATGACGAAGATGCATCACCTCAATGTACACTCATCCTACTGCATGTCACTATACAATTAATGTTGTTATTGGAAAGCCTCCGGTGTTGCCGAAGTTAAACAGCGGATTTACTCCGAAAGTGAATGGACACGAACACTGACTAGGATTACTAGTTTTGCAACCCTGGGTATCTTATGTTTTAAAAACATAAATCTCATTGGTGGATGTGGCTTGGCACCCACCGTCACTGTACCCTGCCTAAGATGTCCAACCGTAAAGAGTAGTCCCATTTCGGCCCAAATATCAGCAAACATGAGGTTTGTCGAGGCTTTTTACTTCTTGGCTTTATGCGTGGCTTTGGGTCTGTACATACGCAAAATCCTGATACCCCATTCCAAAGCCATACGCTTAGTCGTCCCCTCATAACACAGTCCAGTAAAAACGCAAGCGAGACGTGGTTCAAACGTGACCACCAATAAGTAAGAATTTTGCCTGAATAGGAATCCTAGTCCATTGAAACAAGTCTGAAGGGGACAGCACGGCTACATGGTGTTTTCGCATTTATTGCTGACCGCAGAAAGCAATTAATCATCTTCACCCAGTGAAGGCTACAGCTTCTCTTATATCGTCGGTTTCAATTTCCCTAATGTTATAATTTATTAGGCATGAATGTCACTTCCAACTCGGTCGGATTTTGCTTATTGTGGCGAGTGTGCGTGTGTGTGCGACTTCACCAACGTGCGGGCGAGAAGCGTGGTGGGCTACTCTGTCTTCCGAGTTGCAGTGTATACGCAGCACCCAAATGATTAACTGTACCAGATACATTGCGAGCGCTTTTATTTATTGCCAGCGACGCAAGTAGATTGTTCGCACAATTTCTAGTCTGTTCGGTGACAGGTTTGTTCTTCATTCAGTGTACACATACTAAGTTTTGTAGAGCTGAGATGGTTAAAACTGCTATTGAAGTCCTCGGCGTTAATTCTGGGTTTTAATCGTGGCAGAGTTTAAGATGTGGTTTCCTCCGTGAAGTATGCTCTAACTGGGATTTGATTTTCGGAGTTAATGTGCACCGCGTAGCACTGGCTTACACCAGTAGCATCCTATGAGTATTTGATCTATGGTCCTGATTAGTCGATAAAAAGCGGTACCTCAATGGTCTATTGTTTCAAAAATCTACGATGTTATAATTAAGTCATCTTTAAGAAGCTCTGAGTTCGAGATTTTGCTAAATTTTTGCTGTGAGTTGCCAATAGGATATGCCTGACGTTTCATCACCTCTTTTTGGGCACAAGACGTAAAACTCACATAGATTTTTGATCGTGGATGGCGTAGATTTAGGCTTTCAGGATTTCAGCTGAGGTGGCATACTTTCCGGTGTCGTCATTTGCAGTATTGATTTTAATGCTAAACAGATTATTAAGGTGCCTCGGTACAGACTCCCTCATGATGTACAAAACAACAAGTAACATCAAATGCATGTACATTTGCCTAAGCCTGGTTCCTGCCTGTAACAGGCGTTAAAACAGTGGCAGTTCACTTTAGTACAAACATTCTCCCTCTTCGACCCCGATCACATGGACTGCATTCTAGGTGACTCGAGTTTCACTAAAATACAGTTTCCCAGCCTATACTTTCGTTATTTCAAAATTAAAATGAAATCGAAGTGGGATTAATTTTCTTAGTCTACAATACCACAGTCACTAAGATGTAAAATTACGTGGTTATAACCTTTGCGCACCGGTTTTTCTATTCCTTCCTATCGAAAGTTGGTCAATATGTTCTCACTAAACTAACCGATCCTATTGGTTCTTCATCGAAGGTCACATTATAGACTACGAAGCAGTTATCAGTTGTGGGGTTAGGTGCTAAATAGTGTCACTGCCGATGGAGTCAGGCCTACTTTCACTCTCCACCGTAATGCTTTGTTTTTGCGAAACGCTGGACCAAACCATAATTCGGTGACAAAAACTCCGAACGCCATCCAGGTTTGCCACTCCTTTACCAGCTACTACTTCAGGTACTTTTTGAACGTCTGATAACGTGGTGCAAATAATAGATATGCCTCTTTATCAAAGGGCTTATGGTCGAATTATTGCAGAAGGGGTAACTCTGTTGGTGACAAACTTCCTGATGGCAGAACGCCTTTGCTAAATTCGGCTGTGAATTCAACACTGTATAGAGCAACCTATGAAATGGCCTCTGAAATTATCTCATCACTTTGTGGAATTGCTAATAGTGCCATTGACGACTGCTTTGACATAAGGATCGAAAATAGTCATATAATTTTTGATGATATACTAAACGAATTTGATTGACAATTTAGCCAGAACCCAACTAGTCTCAAAACAAATGCATTTGTATTCAAAGTTACCAACCGAGTGCAGCCTTGATATCTTTCTGTCACCATACTGTCCAAATCGATGCATCTTTGATTTAGAAATAACTTATTCCATAAGGTATCTGTACGAAATTTGAATTGAAGTAAAAACGATATTAGTCGAAAATTTGGCCTTTGGCTCAAGTTATAAGAACAGATGATAGTGTTTGATATTGGGCTACTGAAATTCGGTTGCAAAAAAGTGATTCCACACCAACGTGACTTGATAGATGTGGGCTTCATACAGGGCTTCGAAAGCGCGCAGATTTTCTACAGCGACGCACTCTGAACTCAGTTAAATGGTACCTGGAAAGAAGTAGAGATTCGCCTTCTGACAATTCAATGAATATCGCTAATGCTGTCTGAAATCCGCAAAAGAACGGTCTACGATTTCGAAATGTGGTAATAATCCAACAACCGTGAGGATTGTACAAAAAACCCGGGCGTAAAACGGAACTGGTTTTGCCGTCTGTGAGGCTGCATTGGTAGGGGATCCAAGTAGACATGGAATTGATCCCGCACGGTTCAACCTAGAAAACTTTTTATGCCTAACCTTTTTGCTGTGATTAAGATTAATACCGACAACCACACTGGCAACCGCGGACACGGGTAAAGTGGGTGTAGCCTGTTTCAGTCTGTTGAGCATGTGAACATGTTTAGATTTCTAAGGTTAGCAAACCAGGGATGAATTTATGTCTCCGGACAGATAGATCGGCCTTTATCGATTCGGATAATATCATATCCGTTTCCAGCCAATTAACATTACTTGAAGATTGACAATTGATGTCTTTGCCTATAATGATGGTTCCTTTTATTGACTTGTGAAACGTCAGATTACCGGGCCATTCGGTCTACACTGATTGACGTTAGCTTTTTAAGTAAGACTCTGAAAAAGATCGCTCCAGTACTATTTATCCTCAGATGGTTCCCACCAAAAATTATGGAGTTTATTTGGGTGGAAAAACCTTACGTAAAATAAACAAATACGATAACTGCTACCCAGATTCTCGTAACTTTCCATAGACTAGTAATTCGCGGATACAAAATGTGACAAAATTTTAGTGACTTTCGAGGTCGGAACTTTGTAGAAGTCCTCATGAAAATTTGAGTTGTGCAATACTACGATTTCACGTTTGCCACAAACAGTCATATTTTCCATTCTCGAATATTTTTTAAGCACATTTATCTTCGAATTAAAACGCTGCTTTAGCATTAGTGATCCGAAGCCAGGATAGAGCTCAAAAGGTATTTTTTGTGAGGAGCACACTTTTGGTAGCTGAGCCAAAATAAAACAAAAAAATATTTCGTACGGTTATTTCTAAATAAACAAGCATGATGCTGATTCCAAATGCATTCGGGATTGACCAAGCATATCTAACTTGTAAAACGGGGTGTTTATCGTTGTGAGATCCGGTTATGCGACAGAACCAGACTGAACAAAAACTTTGGGATTTTGGATGAGACTTTCTTCGATTGTAAGAGCACTTCTTCCTCATTGCTTTCCCCTGGATTTTATTTTTAAGATGAAAACAAGCAAGTTAGGTGGGAAAGTTGAATTGATCCCGAAATTTTTACCATGTGGAAGCACATGTTGTTATGTTACACTATTTTCCAAATCCACTTTGAACTAGTTTTACTTGTAATAAAGATGGGTGATGGCTGATTTGGAGGTTTAACGTGTATGTATGAGTGTGTTATTTATGTACAGACAACCTAAATTAACTACTAACCAGTAACAATCAGCAAACCAAAGACTATGCCTGGGCTGCTGAGTTGTGGTCGGGACGATAAAGGACAATAAGTCACGTTACATGGAATAGTTTTGATAACATTAAGCTCATGTGGAACGAATGACAGAAACGAAATTATTTATCTACTTTTAGGTAATTTTGTTCAGATATTCATCGTTAGACTTTTTGGGAAATGTGTTGGTGGTTATTACAAGTATACACTTCACTAAAGCCAACGCATCGGGACCTTAGAAAACCGCTACCTGAGTTTTCCAATTAGGCAACAACATACCACCGCGTTGCGCGATGCCGTCTTTTGATTGGTTATGGGGAACCAATAGGCTGTTTGTCCACGCCCCCTAATCAACGACGTACCCTTTCAGACGGACTAGGAGGCGGCGGTACACCGACAGCACATAAAGTGGCGTGCGCGCATGGCAACAGTCTCCACAGTGCCCGCCGATCTGGTCTCCGCCTCCGCGTCAAGTTCTGCGGGTCTCCTCAGGTATGACTCGATTCTCGCCGACGCCTGCGCCTTTAATCGACGACTTCGCAAGGGCAGGGTGGAACGACCCGCCTTCTTTGACACAGCGACGCAGATTGCTCAGCGTCCAGCCCCTTGGTTGCACCGCACTGCACAAGCGCGTACAAAAGGTATGTTAATTGGATGAAAAAAATTGCGGATACCGTCAAGCATAGTCCCAATATTTCACGTGTAGATAGTGGCCCCACTCGCGAACTTCACGGTGAGTGACGTTCAAGGGCCCCAAACTACCTCTTCAATTACTATTCACGTCCGGATAATGAATATAGTCATTATTTTATACACCATGGTTAATTTAAGTGTTTTTTGCTCTTTTCCTTCATTCAATGCCCATGGGGATCCCGCGATTAATTATGGCCGTCACAATATATTCCCTAAGCCAACACAGCCACGAACATCGTTGCCTTTACTGATTCAGTTCTGGGTAAGGCAAACGCGGGAAGGCACTTTCTTGGTGGCGAAGAACGGACCCAAGTCATGGCGTGTTATAACCGCATCAATGGTGGAGCTTCAAAATGTTGGGCTAGATACATTTACCGCATCATGGATCACATTCTGACGTGACTTTTCTCTGTAGCTAATTTAATACCTAAAATCAGATCTATTGTGTCATATCGGCATTTGGGGAAATTGACGTTGATGTTGAAGCCTGTTGATTATCACGTCAACTCACAGTGAGATATCGATCAGTGCATTGCTACCACACCAACAACACACAAATCAAAAGAACATGTGACCGTCATTTACATGAGACGTGATTTCACAGGCTCCCAATCATCTACAAAAGGAATACTTTACTCCATGGTCTTGTTCCAAAAAGACCCTGAATACCAGTTTTGGAGTATAATTGAGCAAAACACTTTTACACTTGCCATTCATTGCTACACTTTGCGAAATTACCAGAAAGTGGAATGTCGTATCAACAAACGAATCGAAGAATATGCTCTGAAGACACAACTAGACCTTTCATCAACGATGCCATCTGACTATTATAAGCTTATCTGTGAGCCGTTTTGTCTTCTGTGGCTGCCTTCAAAAACACAACAGCATCAACGTGAGGTCTGCAGTAGCCACCTGCATTCCTTGAAGACTTGTGACAAAAAGTCATGGGGGTGCAACTCCCAATGTGCTAAAAGCTAAGCGCGCCTGGTGCCTTGGCGACTACCGGTTAAAATTCTGAAAAGCGTTTAACCAGATCCCCAGCTCATGAAGGAAAACGAAGGCATCAAGTTAGCCTCCCTCTGTGCTCTGGTCACCCTCTGCTAAGCCCAATCTGTGGATATAACGACACATTACAAAATCTCAGTCGGCAGTATCTATCCCGTATCCCGCTCACGACGCAGAGTTCTCACAAGGATTGATTCGCATATAAAAAATAAAGACAGATAGAAACGAGCCCCAAACTGGTTCCTCAGATGACGGAAGGTTTGTCGAAAACTGTGAGCTTCACTTTGGTGGAAGCACCAGATGATCACATTAAATCAATCTCTGCGTATTTCAGACGCCTAAAATCCAAAATCGGTGAGCGAAACCCAATATGGAGCTAATAACAACACAATAGGACTCTGGGAAGCGTCACTGCTTATTTACAAGATACGGCACAAGCACTGGGACAAGTGTTAAATTGCTGAAAATTGCACATAACTTGTATTTGAAATAAACAACTCAAATTCCCGAATCTAGGCCACGATCACCCATCGAAGGTGCCCTCCCTGTCTGGGCAGCCTGATTCTCCACCTGATTGACACACACACACACGCATCATCATCACCATCACATACAGCATAGCAAAAAATGAGGCCATTGATCACGAGTCATGTGAGACGCATGCCACCCACGGCGTCGACAGCCATGTCCTCCACCACTCACGACCAATCGAAATAGCGCGTGTTCAGTGATCTATCAGGATGAAAATCGGTGCGTTGTATTTTCGGGATTTATTAGTTAAGACCTTTTTACTCAGGCGTTCGCCATTGATTGGTGTTGATTTGATCCCATATCCTGTCAAGCATCTTTATATTTCGGTTTTCGGTGTAATTCGGATGGGTGAATTTGCTCATTTTCCTCATGGCTTGCTGAATGCGTGTCACATTCACAAGTTGTATTCACGTTACTACACTTGAAATTCAAACCATCAAGGTAAAATTGTGGCATATGCATCAAATTAAATATCTACTAAGGAGCAGGCATTTTATGATGAAAACGTAGAAATACTCGCTATTTCACAGTCGCCTTTAATAGATATTTTGCGGGATAGGCATACGAATTAATGTATCCCAGTGACTTGTTTTGAAACCCTGGCGCCAAATTCATGCGTTTTTCCAACTAGAGCTACTGAACTAAAACAACGGTAGCAATTTCAAATTTGTAATTCATCCAATTTTTCTTTTCGTAAGTGCGTGGAGGTCCGACTTCATTTGGTTGCTAACAGACTAACTGACCATACTGATTCTTCTCCATAACTCCTCATTTGAAGTACTAAAGGACAACATAAATCTTGACAGTAGCTGCGCACTTTCCCATCATCTTCTATTTGTGAGAATCCGAAAATGTCTGAATTTAGCAATGCGGTATGCCTTTGCAGATTACACATTGATTTCCTTAATCTAATTGAAACACTGACATTTATAATTGGACCCAGGAGACCGGTATTTGCTTTCCCACTGCTGGTAGACCTTACATGATCAGCCAATAATGAGAACTTCGTCGATTTTTGAGGAAATATCGTTGCAACATAATTTGCGACAATAATGTGGATTTCCAACGAATATGAAGCAGGATTTAGCAAGCATTACTTAACCTCACTTCTGAGCACATGTTCTTTCGCGGTGGTTTCCAAATATGACGATTTTGATATTCGGAACGAGTAATTTGTTGCACTAAATTGTCATTATTTCACGTGTCATTTCATGAGCCCAAAGTCCCCTATTCCAGTCTTCTGCAGGGAACTGGCTTCGTAGATAACGCCTTATTGCACACAATGGATGCACCCGACCAAATATCGCTGAACTTACCAAGTAAATTGTGCAGAATTGGCAAAATTCTGCTGTTTTTTGTAGCAAGTCCTCACTTGCTTAAATATTGCTATATTTCGTCAAATCTCGACTCCACTGCACATTAAAGTAAGTAAATTTCGGGTACTGTTAGACCCCTCTTCTGCAGTTAGCTTAAACCTGGTAACGAGGTTTTCCCTTATTTAGTCCCCTTCCTGTGACATCTCAACATGGATAAAAGTTCGTGTAAATTCACCCCGCTGGCATGCTTTCGTTTAGCACCAAGCTTTAGAAGCATTCAATGACTTCGAAGGGTTCAGGAAATTACGATATTCAGGTACTTCTGTGTTTTGTTAGGCTTTCATGTTGCACATGGATCGGAGAGCCTGGTTTACAAGATGGCCTGGGTGGGGGTAGTGGTCTGTTGATGTGACCTCATTGAAAAGAGCAGCCACTCATTTCCGGTTTTACACGTGGGCGGCCTCCTCCAACCCGAGTGACGTATGCGCACTGGCTCCTGCATTGGAAGTGACTCGCTTATCGAGATGCGTGAACTCATCATGGCATGTCTAACAATGCACGAGGATTAGTTTTCCTCAAAGGTCTCAGGCTCTCGTCACTAATAGGACAATGCCCTCACTCTAAATCGTAGTCAAAATGATGTTAGTGGCAAGCCGTGTCGGCGTCTTTGTACAAATTTCATTTGGTGCGAACTGATAAGACTGAACAATGAGTGAACAGATATCTGGTCACGTGAGGGCTTGCCAAGGCAGTTTTTATCCATCAGCACCTCAAATCCGGTAGTCTCGTCTTAGATATTTGCTCCTTGTGATTTCTTTATTTGGATGAACAGAATTTTGCGTGTTCTAAGTTGCTTCCGATTAACACCGAACTCTAACGCAGGAGCACATCAGTTCTGCTGTTCGATTGTAAGTGTGCTGAATTTATCGAAAATATTGGCCGCCAGAGGGCGCACCAATCCCGGTATTTCTGCCTCACCTTCCTGACGAGCAACCGTGGTTTTCTTGTCCGAAACCAACGCGATTCGAATTGTGTAAGATTAAATGAAAAGCCTTGCTGTTGGAGTGAATGCACGACCTTTTGCAGCAGCCTATGTACTTTCAGTTCCAACCAATTTTGTATCTCACATTTTAGACTCGGTGCCGTTCTAAAGATTTCGTAAAAACTTTGCGCCGCAGTACGGCACTAACGCCGCGGCGACAAAAAGGACGGTGTTAAGACAGCGACTTAACACGCATTGAAGTGTAAAAAATGACACGATTTTGCAAATGGCGTCCATATCGATTAACACGATTGCATACTTTGACGAATCGTCCAACGTGACCTTGAATTTTTTGCCTCAGAGCCGACGATGACTGATTGGTTAGCTGCGCTTCAAGCCGTAGTCATGGCGCACGCCCTATTTGTCGGCTTAGTCAGCTGAGGGGTGAAGGGGGTGGAGGGCTTATTTTTCGACCGTTTGGGCATGCAGTCAACCAAAAATTGTGGAAAAATGCACCGACAGGACCATTTACTAATGAAATAAATTTCTGCGGATTAAAGTTTCTTCTTTTTTGTACTTCGAGGTGAGTTGGTGTAAGATGTCTTTAATTATAGTGGTTACAGCTATTACTTTTACCGGGTTAGGGGTAAAAATATATTGTCCTGGTTACAGTCAATCTTATAACAATCAATCTAACCGTGAAAATCAAGGTAATTTCCTTTCTACCAGACGAAGTTTGTGTTAGAGGGAAGTATTTCAGATTACACTAGATTCAACCCATTCGTTGGAGTGTAAACGGTCTGACTTATCTTTGTTGTTCCTTGATCCTATAGAATTAGTAGTATTCTTCCAAATGCACACTTCAATAACTTCGTGGTAGTCTCGAGTCATCCACTGTCTCTACTGTGCTGTAGTGAACTGTCAGCGAGCGCGCGTGATGTAACCTTGTTCACAAGTTAATCTGATTATTGATACGGTTGACAACCAATAATCAGGCTCACGCATTCTCAGGAAAAGCCACATCTGTCTGGCCTGACGATAAGAAACAGTCTTATTTTTTGTCACCTGTTGTCTCTGTTCTCGGATTTCCGCGGGCTGTTAACTAGCAGTTTTGTATTGTGCAAACCAACCACTACATTTGCTGATCCCTCGCCATGTAAACACTTACGCCCCCTGTTGTTTAGTGATATGTTAATCGTACCCTTGCTTAAAAGAACCAAGACATTATCAGGCAACATTTAACGACGACGAACGTGCATATGGTGGTGAATCGGCTGTTTTAACTGTCCCAATATTGTTTGCTGCCAATTCTATTCGCCATACAACACAAAAATAAGTCAAGGAAAACGTGGAAAAGTACTCGCCGATTAAGTAAACTTAAAAGATGGAGATGAGAAGAGAGGACCTTTTTTTACACAATTTTCTTCGTTTACTTGCTACACTGGTCTTCACTGTTGGCATAGATATTGACATTTCTGATGCCTGTCGATTTTCGCCGGTGTAATTCCACTCGCTTTAGGTTTGCCTTTCTCGAAACCACATTTCCTTGTGACGTATCGGCGGCATCGGTGGCGTCTTCAGCCCGGTCATAAGCGAAGATTCGCTGACAGTCTAGAAACTTCCCGACTACTCTTCATGTTCCAAGCGATCCCATTCCCAAGCCCCCCAGTGGCAGTAGAATCATCAACATGTAAGTCGGGAGTCAGCTTCAAGTCCACAAGACTGACAAAGCATTTGTGTGATAATTCTCAAGCCTTAGTCAAGGGAAATTTTTAAAATTTGGGTTGCTTTATGGAAGTATCAGGTGTAAAGTATCAATATTTGTGTGATTTTTAACACCTACTATTCAAGATCTACTCCCTTAACTTGAGACGTTCAATTTTTGAGTCAATTGAGATGGTTGCATTCCACTAATTCCATTTAAAGATGATTCGCGTTGCACACTTGGTCGTACCCCTCGACGCATGTTTCTCGGCATGTCAAATCAGTGAAACCATGTTGCAAAAGAACGGTCCTCATATGGCACCATCATACTTCAATAAATCCAATTACTCCAGGCTTAGTAACATCTAAAATGCACTCAATTCTCTTACCTCAAACGTAATACCCCCAATAATAGAGGCTTAACGTTTGCCTTTTAGTCGATGTCATGGGATGTCCTGATGTCGAATTGGTGGCGATTGATACATTCGAATTCATGGTTTTGGCATGGTCCCCCTGATATTGCTTGTACCTATGGGCAAGGGTTTTCCCATGGCTATTAAACTCTTTTATCGCAAACAAAAGTTTCCACCATTTTCAACTATGGGGCAAGTAAAATAAACGAGGAAACATCCTTATTTGCACGAACTGATACACAGTAAAGAGGATAAATATTTTGAAAAGCCACATTATCTGGGGTCCCAAACGTGTTCCTCAACCACGGGATTATCTTTGAGGGATATGTGTATAACAGAATCAATGTGGTGTTCCATCGAAACAAGAAGTTATACTTTAGTTGGAATGGGATTCTGAATTGAATGGCATTCATTGGTATCGCGAAGCTTTGCAGTCTCCATATCAAAGAGGGACCTCCAGGTAGGCTGTGCTGTGTTGCGGTGCTAGATGGCAGCTGTTTATTGCTGTCTAAACTCCGGCGAAAAAAGTCCTCCTCCTTTAGCACTTGCAGTGGGTATTCTTCGCACTCCTGATATAAGTGGGATTTGACATTAGTAAACACAGTTCTATGCAATTTAGTAATTTTTGGAACGTGCTCATTTGTCAAATCGGATCCTTCTGTTTGAAAGGAACTTTCCTACTTATGTGTAAACAGAATAATCAATGTATGATTGGTGTAGCAGCAATACTAGGACAGTGGTTATACTAACCTTCGAAGTCTTCGTTCTGTGAAACTGATGGGGTGGCCAGTCCGTCGGAATGGTTCGTCAACCCCCCACCCCATAAGTGCTATGCCCCTCTAAGTGCGGCTTGACTTGAAATGCGCAGTTTGTTTTGTGAGTTGGTTGCCTGTTACTGAGGTAACTGACGATGAAGTCCTCATTTATATGGGCCTTGGGGATTTAGATCAGATTATTAGATGACGGTAATGACAGGATAGTTTCTTTCTTTAAATCGAGGATAAGTGGCTTTTAATGTTTCGAGCATGGTCAACATCGGTTTCCTTGTGGCCGTAATTGAGTGTATCTTGTGTACAAACACTAAATAGATGCTGCATCACCAGAATTAGAAACTTGATTTTTAGCGTTCATCAGGGAAGGTGTTGTGGCTTCATTCATTAAGGGAATCGAATTCAAGCTTCTGATTTTTAAGCGTTATATTTGTACATAAAGTTTGTCTTTCACACGGAACCACTTCATGTAAATTGAGCCATAGGACTAGTTTCTGAAGAGGAATCACAATGACAATGTAATTTCAATGGAATTACGGCCACCACTATTAATCTTCATTCCTGTGAGTATGCTGAATACTCATTTCTTCGATTTAATTTAGAATATCTATTCAAAATTCGCTTACAACAAGTACACCAATTATCAAAAGATGAAATTGGTTCTGGAATGACTGTCCATTTAAAAATGCGAATTATTCTACATTATCCGTTTTGGGTCCCCTGATTCAGGCATCTCAGCCATTCACGAGTCACTATTGACATGCACACATGAACAGGCCCGATATAATTCTATTTGTGGGTACACTGGAAGTAGGGTTTGTTTTTGTCATCATCATTTGTTAGATATACAATGACTACAGCTTAGACGGTATGACCCTAATTCGCTGCATGGTTTTTAGCCTACAGCCTGTGAGATTGACAGCGTTTTTTGTGAACTTGTAGCCCGAGGCCCTAATTCCCGCTCTCAGGTGCCCACTAACGATTACATCAAGCAACAGCTTCCCCAAGTACCCCTGGGGATTTCTAGCACCGATCCCGAAGCCTCCTTACCCGGCTCTGTCTCTGGAGATGGTTCCTGTCAATCACCGGCTACACAAAATTCCACCAACAACTCAACAACTGCTTCAAATGGAGGTGAGAGGAGGATCCTAGCTGCCGATTCGCAACAGCAACCTCAAGCGTCTCCCTGTGTAGAAGATCTCAGTGGCCAACGATTCGATAGTTATGGGAGGTATACAGAGGAGGAGGAGGGAGAGCGGTCCAAATTCAAGTTTCGTCGACGGTTTGTAGGACTAGGGGAGAAGTCTGGCGTTGTTCGCCGTTACCATAAACGACTTGGAGTGGGAGTGTATGGCCGAGTGAGTAATTTGGCCAAGCTGCTACCTTTGGTCTCCCTCATGTCCTAGCTCATTCTAATTTCTTGCGACTTCATTTAAAGTCCTCAATAGTTGTCAGCATTTAGTGTGTAGAATTCACATTTTGTGTAATTACTGACCACCTACCCCTATCACTTATAACTTCGGCCTCAATTTGTAGCTTCTCACTTGTCTTCCACACGCTGTGGCCGTGTTTCGTTTCCGTTTAGTTGAAAATCCACAATTAGTAACAGCTGTGAAAGCCAGAAATTTCCTTTCGGGCCACTCAAACGGCAACAGGCTTATGTCCTCACGAAGTTAAGTAAACTGAAATTCATATTTATCAACTGTTTCCTTTGCGGCTCTAAATGCGTTTTGTTAATTAAATGATTTGGAAACATTAGTGAAAACTGGTTGTTAGTTAACAAGAGGACACTCTTCTACTGGAATACTCTCGATTAGAAGTTGAAAGTACTTGCCTTTTAAGTGGTTAAGCTTAGTCCCAATGTTAATTTTGTGACCAAGTAATTTAAAATGAAGGATTTTTTCAGATTCAGAAATATATTTAGCTATTTAGTGTGGTTGAATGCACAGTTTTTGAGGAGAATTTGAGTTAAAGACAAAAATCATTGTTTTATTCAGGTATCGGATTTAACCTTTATAGAGTGTAGCGCCCAGCTGGATTTGGTGAAATTTTCTTGTAGATAATTTCATGTACATTTCTAGCATGTAGACTTCAGTGAGTTATCTGAGGAGATGCAAATAAAATCTGATAAGACTTAAATTGTTGTTGCTACGATACCAATAAGTGTATGAGATCCTTCATCGATCAAAGAGACTTGCTTTGTTGCCTGATTCGCCAACCTGAGCAAATGAATTCGACCCTCTCCCGATTACTCCACTCACACGTTACGGTAATTTTCTAAGGGCCTAGGAATTTTCCTTGTGACAGATGTGATGTTTGTGGGTGCTTTGGGTAGGTATCAAGGGCCGACTTTAAACTGTGATTGGAGTTCTGACTAAAGATTTTTGTACCGAAACCAACGTTAACCAAATCCCCATGGGCTTTCGTGACTGTTTTTTGACAGAGGGTTATGGAGTGAACTCAAACTCGTGAACACCAGACGGAAACGTTAAACATCATTGGCAATGCTTTCACCGTCCCTTAAATATTAAAAAACGATAACAGTCATGAACCTCTCAAAACCCTTATTAACGAACTCTTTAGCTTTCTATACCTTCATAACACACGTTTGGCATCGCTCACAATTTACTACTGGGTCAAAACACGCTAATGACTGATCCATTTTGCTGTAGTGCACGTGACATGATCTCAAACGCAGTACGTGAGACTGGGGATCACCTAAGGTGTGATTTAGAATGCATCTGAAGTTTGCTAAGTCACTCTGGTGTGCATGAATCCCCGAACTTCTTGGATGAATGCACAAACTAAGAGCGTTTCCTTTAAATCGCCACCGTTTTCCTTCAGCCACGAGGGAAGAGGGGTATCCCAGGAAGGTGCGACAGCAGTAGTCGGTGGTCTTCGTTGGACGGATCGATCGGTGGTCTGCAGGTCCCCGACGGTGCTTACACGGAAGACAGTCCGGGTATGTATTATCCATGCTCAAAGCACGTGATTCTTCCTGTTGTTGGATGTTATTAATTTAGTAATCGTCATGATAAGGATGGTTTTACATTTAACTGGTTTGATGTAGTGTGGCAGAAGTATTTCGAAAGTAAATGTAACAGCTATACGTACAAAAAAGAGTGCGAATTTTTGCGAATGAAGCATATTTTAGTGCTACGAATCGACCAAAGCCCGTTGAAGTGACTTCCGATTGGACTTCAGTTCCAGGGTTTTGGTGAGTGGGGTCACAGAGGCATAAGGGTAAATGACGCAATTTGTAGCTACTCATTAAGAAGTCCTTTGGAAGGTCATAGATTGGCCAGAAAGTAAGAATAATTATTCTCAAAAATGGACAAGCACAAATAGCTCAATTTTAAAAGCACGAATTCTTCAGAATAGTGCGGAAGAAACTGTACAGGGTGGTGTAGAAGGTTTTATTTGATTTTTAGCCAATATGGAGAACCAACAGGAATGTTCTCAATACAAAAAATGCTCTACCAGTCTGTAAAGAGCCATTTGATGTGTGTGTCTCTGTGTGACAAATAATCCTTTAAACTTCGTTAGGGTCAAAATTAGCTTACTTTCAGTTAGCCTTTGGCAAAACTGAAGAAGTGGGGTCATAGTTCACTGTAATTAAGCGTTGAAAGGTTTTAATCAGCCTGAAACGTTGGAGTGTTCGCCGTGTTGTCACCACAAATGTTCACCCTTTTAACATCTGCTAATCTCACTCAAATTATTGAGGTCTTTCTTTGAACTTTATGATAACTGAAGTGAAGTGAAGTGTTTATGACAAACGCTTTTGGATTAAGCGAGAAACGTGATCGAAAAATTCAAATGCAAATTCCCACGAAAAGAAGTTTAAAGTGTCTCAGCGCATTCAGTAGCACTTGGGGTAATTTTTTTCAAATGCGCCGAAACTTCCTGGTTTGATGAATCACAGAGGTGTTATGTTTCATGATTTTGCTGGACCACATGCACGTTTGGTCACCCATCAGAAATTGCTACACCCACTAAATGTTCCAGATCCAGCACCACCAGACTACCGTTTGTTGCGTTTTCCGCAAATTGTTCCTAATGTATTTTCTAAAAAAACTGATGTTTAAAGTTCCTAAAAGAAAATGCAGCGAAACTAACCGCATTTTGTTTACTGTGAAATATTCGGTTTTCTCATGAGCAGAAAAACAGCACACTTCGGACAATGAATTTGCTCTGATGTCTAATAGACATGCTGTTTGTCTAGTATAACCCGTTGCAATCGTCCTCTTGTTGGTGGTGTAGGTGATAGTCACTTTCCATCAAAGTGTTGGGCTGGCAAATGTAGCTGATGCAACTACCTCCCTCCCTTGCCTAGGGTGCATAAGTGGACACGAAAGGCCTGCTGTGTGGGAACGGGCTGTATTCTGCAGGAACCGGCGAATACACGTCCCTAGAGCCACATCCAAGATTTTATTTGGTGAATTCAATACAAGTGATTCTCTTTCTCGAAGAATTACTGATCGCAGCCCTTAGAATTGACGTCGGCGCAGCATTTGGATGCATACATTTAACCGGAAATACGAAATCAAGTCACCTTAGGGATAAACTTAAAGGCATGTCACTGCTAAATTCGTTAAATGATTTCTTTCCCTTGAGAATAGTTTTGTGGCAAAAGATCAATCGTAGTCACAATTTGTGTTCATGTTAGGATGGCGAATGCCTAGTCAAAACAAAATATATGAGCATACCAATATTTAAACTTATAGCCTGATTATTAACAGTTGCATCACAAAGGTCAAATAACTATATGTCTACTAAACAGTTTTGGCCGAACCTACTTTAAATTACACCCTTGCCGTGAAAAATCAGTAACTTTAAGCAAAATATTGCAGATTTTGACCAGTAGGCGACAGCAAGAGTAATAGGCGGAAATGTTTGTAAACGAACTAAATCGGAGTGGATTGAAAAAGTATGAACTCTAAAGAAAATTATTAATTTGGATTACAACCCATTTTAAGGATTTAAGAATTTTCCTTATATTTCAATAAATTACCTCAATATTCTTTGAAGTTCAGACTTTAAGTTAGCATGTTGTGTAGAAGGAATTGTAATTATTCTGAACAAGTGATTTAAGAGAATAACACAATTTTCCGTCCAAAATATGCAGTACGTTTGGCCTCGGAATGTCGAAACTTTTAAAGCACCAAAGAATTTCTGATCGACGGGGCTGTTTGATGGAATCCAAATAACCTCTGATCTCTCTCTACTTTTGATTTATTCAAACAACGGGCATGGCAATTCACTGTCTATGGGAATTGCATGATTACTTTGTACCGTTGGAATATTTTGTCAGAGTTTTGGCCCTAATCACGACTTCGTCTTCCCAATCACCTTTTTTCCAAAACGAAAGGCGCAATCTACAAGCGTTCGGCGAACTCCAAGTCTTTGAATGGCTGACTCCCGACTGAATCCCGGTTTGTATCATGCGTCTTCTGATGAGCATATGCTCGAACTGAGGTAGATATGTATGTCGGATGGCTCAAACTGGCTTGTATTGATGTTTTTATATATTATATGAAATAATGCAGTCACCATGACGTGTGGTTTTGTACTTTCTTCAAACACATTGCTCTCTAGGCGATGGTAAAAGATGTAGAACCCTGTAAAGCGTAAACCACAATTTTTGATAGCAGTGTTTGCTTTAACCTCTTCCTCATGCACTTTTATGGTGTAGCGTTTATTTGCATTAGAGCGACGATGTTATGCTCTGAGGCTGTCACTTCTATATGCAAAAACGTCGTATAGAATCAATAATGGATTTTAGTTCACCTTTAAATTTTCCATAAAAGGCTACGAAATATTTCGTAGCACTTTTAAAAAAACGTAAGAGGCCTATTTTTTCTATAAACATAGCATCATTATACTTGTTTTGTCCATATCAGAGACATCCAGGTCAAGAACCAGAAAAGACTATTCTAAGGGAGTTGGAAGGGAAGTGTATTTACGGCCATATGTTGCTTCACCAGTCGTTTTACACAGTTTCCTTTCGAACATTGCTCCTTTTAACTGAGTTCATCCACTGAATTCCCGCCTTTTCTGTTTTGTGTTTAAAAACGCATTTTCTTCATGATTTCGGGTCATTGCATATGCTTGGCAGTGATTACGCGTGTGAATGTGGTAACACTGGAGTGCAGACCAATTTCGATGTTTCGATTTTTATTCCTCTGGGAGCTTCTTTGTCTACCAATCATAACATTTGTCAGGATTTTCATCGAATATATTTTAAATTTACCTAAATGCAAGGGCCCTGGTCGTGGAACATGTGAGCAGATAACATCTTAGAAATAGTTTAAAGTTCCCACGCATGAACCTATCGCAAGTCTATCAGAAGATCTCCTTATTTGCACCACAGATTCCTACACACCACCCGAAGAAGCCATATACCGGAGTAACGCCAATTTGTCAACTGTTGGTCTCACTGACGGTCTTTCCAAATCACCTCATTCTCACCCGGGCTTCATGGATACTCCCGAGTTAATCGAAGACCCAATCATTCCCAGGTCAGAGACACCTACAGGGTCAAAAATCCACAGTCAACAACAGTCTGGTTCCAGCGCACCACCACAGCCACCATCGTCGATTTTGCAACATTATCATCTTCAGACTATTACGTGCGGGGCGGACAAGAGGACTCAGCCGGAAGGCGCCCAAGAACCAGGGAATGTTGACTGGCGGAACTCTGGTCTGAGGCACCCGCACAGTACTGGCCCTGATGGTATGCTCAGCGTGTTTGACCTGTTTTTTTGTTTATAGACAGTATCACACCGTGTTCAGTCTACCACGATCTCGTAAATATCAATCACCACACGGTTTGGCAACAATTACCTTGCTTTAAGTGATTCGAAATACGACAAATGTGGAAAGATATGGAAGTGCTTTTAAAACCACCTTTTATTGATCAATTGTCATCATGGGCCTCTGTATAACCAGTAAATTGATTTGAAACAGCGACTGCCCGAAGCGTCAGCAGAGACACTGGATCTTAGTCAAGCTAAAGGAAACGGCAGCCACGAAAGCTAAACGTTGGCAATTTAGGCTTGGTTTGGTTTTGGATCTTGAAACCTGACACTTGCAGACACAAGCTGTTTAGTCCAAAATTTCAGCCTCAATTATGAAAATGAGTAGAAGAGAAAGTTTATGGGGTTGTTTAAGGAAAAAGCGAATGAGGTAAACTTGTCCGATCACCATATTTGATTAATCACGTTCCCCAGACTTCTTTTTTGTGTTTGATGAGCTATTTCCTATTGAAAATAGTTTAATTTGAGTAAAAACTAACCTTTGGCAATCGGACCTACCTCCATTCCGGTCTGTCACTTGCGGCAATCTGTTGGGAATGAAGGCGTTAATGGGAAATTCAATTTTTCTATACAACCACATAAGAAAATTCTTGCATTTCAACTTCAAAAGGCAGCAAACGATTTGACTTCGATAAGCTACTCTTTATAATTCCGGAAAAAAAGTTGTTTGGCCGAATCTGCGTGATCTCGATCCCAAGAGAATTAGCTATTTGACAAAAAAATGTGTGGCACCATTACCTGCCTATTGGTAAAAAATCATTACAGTGAAGGTGATCGTTACTCATTCGTTGTCCCAAAGTTAAATTATGATAATATGTTTGAGAATTGAATCAGAATTCTTATACATTTACCTGTGTCCATGTAAGCCATTATGTTGCTGGTGATCAATCATGTTGTCTCGAAAAGGACAGTTTCTATTGTGGTACGCAGTTTACTGAATATCGTGTGATTAATCTGCTCTGTAAGACACCTATGCAGACATTTACGAATTAAGATGCGGTGTCCTCTGACTTGTCGCATTCTTCCACATCACCATCTGGACGGCCAGTCATGCCGAACCACCAGCCTTCGCACAATCCGGTCTATAATTATCATCCGTCGCCCCTCTCTACTCCCACTTCACACCGTCAGCAACCTCCTCCTCCACTTCCTTCTGTGCAATCAAATGCGCAACCACCTCCTCCAGCACCGCCACCGCCGCCTCCTCCACTGCCGCCACCACCTCCCTCATCAACCTCTGCATCAGGGCCTCTAGACATGAACTCGATTCAAGGGGGCGGTGCAGTGGGGAACAGTCGAGGTTCCATAGGAACTCCCCCACCTCCAGGGAGCAGTAGCGGGTCCTCCGAGCCAACCACGGTGGTGACATTCTTCGTCTGTGAGGTCTGTGCCTCTAGGTATCGGTCGACTGCTGGCCTGAGATACCATTACCATAGCCAACATGCTGGATATACACCGAGAAATCCGATTTCGGCTTCCGCATCAAGGATTAGCATACCTACCTCAGAGTATAATCGATTTGCTCCTAATTCGGGCCCCAGAGGTGGACGCAACGGAAGAACGAAACGTAGTAGAAGTGAGTCTGATTTACGCACACGCGTAGGTTTTTTTAGCATTTTCACATTATATATATATATATATATATATATATATATATATAT